TTTGACTTAAGATGTAAACAAGAAATGTTGGACGCCATTAGCATACCTAGCACATAATTTAAATAGTTTAACCAATATGCAGCCTGCAATGAAAATACAACTGCGTCGTATCATATTTTATTTTCAACTGCGTCGTATCATTTCGTAAAAATCATTATTTTCTTGCAAATTAAACATCTCTTTTTAATGAAAGTTTAGTAAATGATGCAAAATTATGTTTTGAAGTTTATGGTGAACTCTCAAAACGAGTATATAATTGATTTGAAGGAAAAACGATAGATAAAGCAATGTGAACTGCGTCGTATCCACACAATTTCATAAAAATTCTGCTCCGCTTCGAGTTGCAAGTTCGCTATAACTTTTGTTTTACAAAATAGTTGTGCAAGCAACATATACCGAACGATGCGGAAAATAGTGTAGCGTGTTAATACATATATCTGGTTTTCAGTCATTTCCAACAAAAAGAGTTATGGACAAACACATACGTTTTTCGTTCCAAGATGGCGGCGTTTGTTTACATTTTGTAGGATACGACGCAGTTTTGATTCCCAGCCCTGATGAGGTCTATGTATCAATCAGTTAAGTCAAGAGTAAAATATATGAATAAATTAAGTAGTGATTTCCCATGCATGCTTGGCGTTAGACAAGGGGAATGCTTATCTCCCTTCCACTTTTCACTTTGTATTAATGATTTAGAAGATATTTACATCCACCGTTGATTACAGGGTTTAGATGTTTGCATGTTTAAAAATATATATTATTGTATGCAGAGGACATTGTAATTTTTGGTAACTCTGCAAAAGAATTGCAACATAATATAAATTTATTAGCAGATTATTGTAAAACTTGAAAAATGAAAGTAAACACAACAAAAACAAAAGTAATGATCTTTAGAAGAGTTGGCACCATTCCTATAAATCTGAAATTTTATTACGACGATGAAGAAATTGAAATAGTTTAGTAAGTTTACTTATTTAGGTATTGTTTCTACAAGTGGTTGAAAAAGACCACACAAAATAATTTTATTTACGGTGAACTACGTAGATTTAGTTTTAAGACAATACACTATTATAACATAATAAAATATTGGATTAAAGTCGTACATACATAAGAAAATAAATATGTGTCTTTGGTATATAATATGCTCAAAAATGATTTAGAAAATGCACCGAATAAAGTAAATTGGTGCTCTTTAGTAAAATAAAACAGCATATTTTGTACACTTGATTTTTATGATGTATGGTTGCAACAAAATGTTGGTAAAAGTAATTTATTTTTGCCTAGCTAAACAAAGATTACACGATCAGTTCAAGCAGAATTGGCATGATAGATTAGAGAATTCTATTAGAGCATTGTTTTATCGAACTATTTCAAATTTTAGATTTCAACCATACTTAGAATACTTTACAAATAGTAAATTTTGTCAATCTTTTGTAACATTAAGAGTTTCGTCACATAGACTGCAAATAGAAGCAGATCGTTGGTCAAGACCGGCGACTATACCAGTAAATGAAAGATTATGTAACTTTATATAGCACAGTATAATACAATATGATGTAAATACAATATGTTTATTTAATTTTTATTGTTCTCCTTTTATTGATATTCGTGCAATATGGGGAAGACAGAATGACCATCATAAGAGATCTTTGTTTTAAAGACATGAGAAACGCCTGACAACATGGTATAATGAATAAAAATAATTTTAAATATTTTTATATAAATTCTAAATGAGCTTAATCCAACAAGCACTCTACGTAATCAGATAAAGTATGTATTAAAAACTCTAGTACTAGAATAACAGACATTATAAAATGTTTTCCTCTGAAAATACTCCTCAATCTCAGACATTTCTATTTTAAGATGTGTGCGGGCAGTGCCTTTATCGTAAATCTCATGTCACATCCGTAAGCAAAATAAACTGATAATCAAAAGTTGGTAGGAACAAATTACTGTTTTTATTATAATAATTGTTGCATTAATTGATTCAAAACAGTCTGAAAGCCTTACCGTTATATTATTTAATTATTTTACATGTGTAAGGAGCGGGGTGATACTTTTACATCTACGTGAATACAACATATCTTATATAGGACTATTAAATAATGTATCATTGTGATCAGACATTAAATGCGAAAATGTAACAATCCGAAAATGTAACTATGCGAAAAGGCGAAAATGCGAAGAGACTACAAAGTTATAATTTGTCGTCTCTTTGTGTTTTAGCATTTTTGTATTTTGAACGTGGAAAAGCGAAAATAAGACAGATGGAATGCGAATATACGACATATTTTATGTGTCGTATTTTCGCCCTCCTCTGTCGTATTTCCGCTTTGTTGACGCTATATAACCTGTCATACTGGAGCTATATTACCTGTCATACAGGAGCTATATAACCTGTCATACTGGAGCTATATAACTTGTCATACTGGAGCTATATTACTTGTCATACTGGAACTTTATAACTTGTCATACCGGAGCTATATAACCTGTCATACTGGAGCTAAATAACCTGTCATACTAAACTATATAACCTGTCATACAGGAGCTATATAACCTGTCATACTGGAGCTATATAACCTGTCATACTGGAGCTATATTACTTGTCATACTGGAACTTTATAACCTGTCATACCGGAGCTATATAACCTGTCATACTGGAGTTTTATAACCTGTCATACTAAACTATATAACCTGTCATACTAGAGCTATATAACCTGTCATACTTAACTATATAACTTGTCATACTGGAGCTATATAACCTGTCTTACTGGAGCTATATAACCTGTCATACTGGAGCTTTATAACTTGTCATACAGGAGCTACATAACCTGTCATACTGAAGCTATATAACCTGTCATACTGGAGCTATATAATTTGTCATACTGGAGTTAAAGAACCTGTCATACAGGAGCTACATAACCTGTCATACTGAAGCTATATAACCTGTCATACTGGAGCTATATAACCTGTCATACTGGAGCTGTATAACCTGTCATACTGGAGCTATATAACTTGTCATACTGGAGCTATATAACCTGTCATACTGGAGCTATATTACTTTTCATACTGGAGCTATATAACCTGTCATACAGGAGCTATATATCCTGTCATACAAGAGCTATATTACTTTTCATACTGGAGCTATATTACTTTTCATACTGGAGCTGTATAACCTGTCATATTGGAGCTATATAACTTGTCATACTGGAGCTATATAACCTGTCATACTGGAGCTAAATAACCTGTCATACTGGAGCTATATTACCTGTCATACTGGAGCTATATAACCTGTCATACTGGAGCTATATTACTTTTCATACTGGAGCTATATTACTTTTCATACTGGAGCTATATAACCTGTCATACAGGAGCTATATATCCTGTCATACAAGAGCTATATTACTTTTCATACTGGAGCTATATTACTTTTCATACTGGAGCTATATAACCTGTCATACAGGAGCTATATAACCTGTCATACTGGAGCTATATTACTTTTCATACTGGAGCTATATTACTTTTCATACTGGAGCTGTATAACCTGTCATACTGGAGCTATATAACTTGTCATACTGGAGCTATATAACCTGTCATACTGGAGCTGTATAACCTGTCATACTGGAGCTATATAACTTGTCATACTGGAGCTATATAACCTGTCATACTGGAGCTAAATAACCTGTCATACTGGAGCTATAAAACCTGTCATACTGGAGCTGTATAACCTGTCATACTGGAGCTATATAACCTGTCATACTGGAGCTATATAACTTGTCATACTGGAGCTATATAACCTGTCATACTGGAGCTAAATAACCTGTCATACTGGAGCTATATAACCTGTCATACTGGAGCTGTATAACCTGTCATACTGGAGCTATATAACCTGTCATACTGGAGCTGTATAACCTGTCATACTGGAGCTATATAACCTGTCATACTGGAGCTATATAACTTGTCATACTGGAGCTATATAACCTGTCATACTGGAGCTAAATAACCTGTCATACTGGAGCTATATAACCTGTCATACTGGAGCTGTATAACCTGTCATACTGGAGCTATATAACCTGTCATACTGGAGCTGTATAACCTGTCATACTGGAGCTATATAACTTGTCATACTGGAGCTATATAACCTGTCATACTGGAGCTAAATAACCTGTCATACTGGAGCTATATAACCTGTCATACTGGAGCTGTATAACCTGTCATACTGGAGCTATATAACCTGTCATACTGGAGCTATATAACCTGTCATACTGGAGCTATATAACCTGTCATACTGGAGCTATATAACCTGTCATACAGGAGCTATATAACCTGTCATACCGGAGCTATATAACCTGTCATACTGGAGCTATATAACTTGTCATACTTAACTATATAACTTGTCATACTGGAGCTATATAGCCTGTCATACTGGAGCTGTATAACCTGTCATACTGGAGCTATATAACCTGTCATACTGGAGCTATATAACTTGTCATACTTAACTATATAACTTGTCATACTGGAACTTTATAACTTGTCATACTGGAGCTATATAACCTGTCATACTGGAGCTAAATAACCTGTCATACTGGAGCTAAATAACCTGTCATACTGGAGCTATATAACCTGTCAGACTGGAGCTATATTACTTTTCATACTGGAGCTATATAACCTGTCATACAGGAGCTATATATCCTGTCATACAAGAGCTATATAAACTATCAGATTTCTTTAATACATTGCTTCTTTACAGAATTCACTGCTGATGTTTTCGCTTTGTTTTAAGTTTAAGCAACTTTATAATGGAGTCAATGAGATCGTTGTCAAATTAGTCACATTTTCCTCAATTGACTTCCTTAAACATATTCAACTCGTGCATTTAAATCAAATGATCATTGAAAATTATCTTCTTTTTTTCTCCTTGTTAGCTTTCTTTTTATTGATTTGTTAATCATTTGTAAGTACACGTAGTTTAATACACTGTGTAATATATATCTATTTAGAATAGGGCGGCGAAAGGCCTTATATATTTCTATCGTGATTCAATTAGGATCCTCCCTTGGCCTTATTGGCATGACTGAATATATTGGTTTCTGCATACTTATGTTTGTTTTGGGAGGTGCAACGCTAGGAGTTTATATGACGTCATATGTCTTAGGTATCGTATATTCTGTACTTTATCTCTTAAGCTTAATATAATTTTCGTTCGTTACAAACAACTTATTTAAAATATAACAGCAGTGCTAGAACGTTATACAGTTTTTTATCTTTCACACGAATGAGCTATGTATATAATAAAACATATTATTATATACTTATAAATGAAATATTGAGAAATATTGATGAAATAAAATGCATATTTTCTTTTTCCGTATTTTCACTGTAAAAATTTATTTTTCACTGCAGTGAAACATATTTTCCGTATTTTCACTGGTGTTTTGCCGGACTACTTTCTTTTACACAAGATTTAAGGGAAAGTCTTTCAAATTTTAATGTCAAAAAAGATAAAAATGTATATAATAAACAGAAAATTCATTTTTTTTCTATAAATACATGACTTATTTTCATCTTGTGGCATAAAAATTACCATATTTCACTCGTGGCTACCGCCACTCATGAAATATTTATTTTCATACCACTCGATGAAAATAAATCATGTATTTATAGAAAAAACTTGAATATCCTCTATTTATCACATAAACCGCGGCACAGGAGGTAATAAAGCCATTTAAAACACTTTGGCGTGACGTCATTTGCGCTATATAGAAACATAGCGTTAAAGCGCGCTAATGTTAGCGTTACACTATAGGCGCGTCGTTGAAAAATTACTCATTTTTACAGTTTATTGTTCTTATTTTATATTATGTGATAAATAGAATATTATATTCGTGTAGATTCAATACTAAATTTATTGAACTCGTTGAATAAAACAATATTATGCTCGCCAGAGGCTCGCATAATATGATTTTATTCAACTCGTTCAATAAATTTAGTATTAAACTACACTCATTCAATATCCTCTATTTACTATCATATCTTAAGAATGTAGCTTTGTAAATATTAAAATATGTACAATGCTATTTTCAGGAATGTATCTATAAACATATATACTTAAACATATAATAAGAATGACACTTCAGGGATGGAGCTTGTTGGTCCAAGTAAAAGGCTATGGACCGGGACAGTAGCACCTTTGTTCCTGACTACAGGACAGCTGTACCTTATTTTGATGGTTTATCTTATCCGAGACTGGAAATATTTTACACTTGCAGTTGCAATACCAGGATGTTTATTTCTACCATACTATTGGCAAGTGGTCTTAACTTACAGCTCTGTGATTTATTTATACTTAACAAAACATTAACTTCTTTAATAGCATTACAACATTCAGTTTAATGTTATAATATTGTATCAAAATATACAATAGATAATTATCTGGTATTTAAAATTATAATATGTTATGTAGTACATTTATCATAATATGGCAATGTTAACATTGAACTTTATTTACCAAGATTTTAAACTATCATGACGCTTTTTGTTGCTGGTAAAAAACAACAGTAAGAACACTTTAATTTCATTAAAATTACCAAAGGATAAGGTTTAACTTGATACTCAATTTTGTAATATTCTTTTTTATGGCATACCTATGATATATTCTTCTCGTAGGTTAATCCCCGAATCATGTCGATGGCTTCTAAGCAAAAGTAGAAACGAGGAAGCTTTGCTGATTTTGAGAAAAGTTGCCAAAAGCAATAAAACTGTTCTTAATGAAAATAAAATAAATGAATTGACATCACATCACAAAGAAGGTCGAGTGTGGCAATTATTTTCTACTAGAACTCTAGGATGTTGGTCTTTAATCATCTTTTTTAATTGGTATTTGTGTTTTTGTTTTTGTTTTGTTTTGTTTTTATTGTTTGATATTCTATGTACTCATTCCCAGCATTCTCTAATCTAACTAAAGCTTGTCTTTAATTGAGTACGTAAAAATAACTTGCGCTTACTTTTTGTTACTTAGTCAAAATTTGATTGAAATAAATGCAAATGGATTGAACAATTAAAGTATCAATTTAGATTACAGTTGCTTTAAAATGAAGTGTAGGAAAATATTACAAAGTATTACATTTATTTCTACATCTATTTAAGATAATCGTAAATAGATCAACTGGAGCACTTAAAATGGGAAAGTATGCAAATGATAATAAAAAAATTCTTAGAATTTAATCTAAAATCGATTTTGTTTAAGATGTAAGCCCAAATTGATATCCCGCGTTTTTGAACGTTTTTCATATTTGGAACATTTTTCACAATTGAAATGATTATTGTAGGAAAAATGAGCAAATGATATGAAAGTTTGCAGACAAGTAATTGGTTTATACCTATATTTAATGGTTCACAAATCTTTAAATAATATTCTCTTTTTGACATGTGACAATGAATAGACCTGTTAAGTGTGAGCATAATGAACATATTTCATTTATAAATATATTGTTCCATTCAGGTTTGTATGCAGCATGTCCTACTACGGTGTGGTTTTAAACACCAGTAATCTCGGCGGCGACATTTTCCTGAATTTCGTTCTGCTTACCATTGTTGAATATCCTGGGAAAATTCTAGATGTTCTTTTATTAGATAGGATTGGTCGGAAAAAGTTGTACGTTGCATACCTGTTTGTTGGAGGACTGGCCTTTATTGCAACAATTTGGCCTATTATAGATGGAAATGACGGTAGTTCAATAGTTCATCCCAATTTCCACCTTATGCCTTAGTCACAAATAACAAATGCGACTGTTTCTCAAAAAAAAATTCGCAATATCGACCGGCGCTCGTCCGGCGGTAGTGACAATCGGACGGCACCAGCTGAAAATTTTGCTCATCGGGCGGGCAATAAGTTTTAGGATCAGTGAGTTTAAAAAAAAATCATCGGGCGGATATCGGGCCATGCCCGGGCGATGTTTTTTCGATCGGGCGATTGTTTTTTATTACAAAAAAAAACGTCCGATTTTAAAAGTACACGACCAGACATCGCCCGAGTCCCGCCGAGCTCCTGAAGAGACTCAAGTTTGCGAATGACTATCGCCCAGTACCCGGACGATTCATGTACAGGCATCGGACGGTCATCGTGTTGTCGCTTGAGTTTGTTGTTATTGCCTCAAAAAGCATTTGTGAATTCCTTAGGATTTAACATAAACTTTCTTGTCAAGCAAGAATGTCTCCGTGGAATATTATTAAGACAAAGGCAAAACACAATTATTGCAGCAGCAATATATGACGAAGGTTAGCACATAATTTGTTGCATAAATTGTTGCAATAAAGGCCAGTCCTCTGCAATGTACTAAGGAATTCACAAATGCTTTTTGAGGCAATAACAACAAACTCAAGCGACAACACGATGACCGTCCGATGCCTGTACATGAATCGTATGTTGCGTTAGTTAAAGGTTCGTGTTGGTGAAGCAAATGGCTGCAGAAAAGAATTATCTATGTATATTGACAATTGGCTGATTTATAAAAAATATCTTAAAATGTCAATACTCTACAGCCAGGCGTCGGCGCGGAGACCGTCCGGTCCAGTTATGAATCGCACATGTACCGTCCGGACATTCGGCGGTGCCCGGTTTATTTGTGACATAGGCAAAATTTTATATCTGTATTCAGCTGTTTCAGAGAAAACGTTAATTTCAAGGATTATTTAATCTGCAAATATCTTTGACAAGACAATAGAACAAATATGGTTGTTGACTCACAAAGAGGTTGTACGTTCTTTAAACGAGTGTTCAAAAAGATACATGTAAGAAGTGTGTTTAGAAAAAAATAATTATCATAAAACAAAAACGTTTATAAGGTATCATATCTGAAAAGTTTTTAGAAATTCTGTTTTCAGGACTACACTTTGTTCTTATTGCCCTAACTATGGTAGGAAAGCTGTGTATAACAGGGGCATTCGGGGCTGTGTATGTTTTGTCTGCCGAAATCTATCCAACTGTTATTCGAAACACAGGAATGGGTTCTAGCTCTGCCGTTGCAAGAGTAGGATCAATGATTGCACCATACATTGCAAAATCAGTATGTACAGTTTTGTAATAAAAGTCTGGAAAAAGGGTGAACAATCGGAAGCAATAAAACAACATTATAATTATGAAAATTGCACACATGGTTTGAATGAGTCTGTTCATGAGGGATTATGTTTAAGTGTAACATCTCTCACGCCCCCTGTAACCTGGGACAGAAGTTATCTTCAGTCCCAGCTGTAACCACAACATAATTTGTATTATGAATTTGTCGTGCGTTTGAATTGGAAAGTTCAAAGTTTTAAGGGATTAAATGTCAAAATACAAGAATTTAGGTACCAACAGTATAGACCTTTTTACGACGCGGTCCGTTGCTATGAAAAATCGATCGGAAGTAGTATTTTCTTGCGCATGCGCAATCTGCGTTTGGCAAAGAAACATCGCCCTACATAAAAACATAGTAGAAGCTAATATACAATTCCGCCTTAGTTAAAGGTAAAAAGTAGAAAATTATATGATATAGCTTTTCACAAAAATGTGCCTTTATAGCTTTGTGGCAATAGTTGCCATTAAAAGGCATGGAAAAGATTAGTGTTTAAGAATTCTCACCTTACGACTTTGGCACTGACATTTACATTGTAATAAAAAATGTGGAAATATATCTATTAGCAAGTAAAGAGATCAACTTTATTGTTGTCGAAGTAGTTTATATAAAAAAAATAAAGAAATTTTAATATTATATGAAGTCGAGGTTAATTATCATTCTGAAAAAGTCAGAACAGTGATAATGCATTTTAAGTTTTCAGTTTACCTGATTTTATCCTTTTTCCGATTGATGCCAAACAGAAAATTTTTATGTTATAAATATATTTACATAGTTTTCAAAATATTGAGAAATTAAAATGGGTAGTGAAATAACACACTTTTTTATCATCCAGTTCCTCGTAACACATGTAAATGCACGTAACACTATTCATCACTTCACAAAATCAATAAACATTGATGAGATTGGTACGTGTAAATGTAACTTAAATTTCTATTTTCATAATTTTGCATGATTTACTATGTCATGGTACTAAAACGTCCCGGTTGAATGATAGTGTAAACTAGCTGTAAAAAAAAAACAACCGGTCACGTGTCAATCTGTTTGGCACTAAATTACCGCCTTGCCAACCCACTTATTCAAAGGAAGTGTACAATGCAAATTGTGCAATATTATGTAATAGAGGTGTAATATAATTTAATCTTTAACACCCTGCTGTTTTAATTGAAATTTCTGATGGAAAAGTCTCCTAATGATATATTAAAAAGAGGGATTTTTACATGCCCCTGTTTTATTGAATTATCAGTCCTGTAGTTCATAAAACGGTATATCTGTTATACATTAATTAAAGTTTTAAGTACTGACTGCTTTAAGTCATCCCAAAATTACTGTTTTCTGGGTGACATAACTTGAAATCACATCTATTAAAATGATAAATTGTAGTCATCGTTATTGCGTTTTTGTCCTACGCAGAATGCGCATGTACGAAATGTACCATTCGTTACTATGTAAAAAGGTATATAGAGACTATACTGTGTGGTGGCGGGTAGTAAAGGCATATCGCTTTTGGATCCAGCAAGTTATGGGTTAAGAGAAGCTAGGAAAAAATAACATATTTAATAAATGTAGCTATTTGCTCATTTCCTCATCATAAAATTTTTCATTAATATGAAGATATATCTGTCAGATTGCGAACGAGATATTCTTGTTTCAAATATATTCGTGACAACAGCCCATGTGTTTATCCGGTGGACTTTCGCGTGAATTAATAAATGGCAATATTTGTTAAAAGCTGTAACACTTTTTTAATTACCTTATCAACTCATTTATGTAAATAAGAGATTGTATACATTTATTGTTTAGGCTGATCTCGTGAATGGTGTTACAGGTAAAGCCATACCTTTAACTTTGTTCGGTGCCAGTATGTTTATTGCTGCACTACTTTCGTTGAGTCTTCCGGAAACACTGAATAGAGAACTTCCAGAAATAATACCCGATGTTGAGAACCTTAAAAGGTATTTAGTATTAAACTTGTATATAATTTGCTCATTAAACTTTTAAAACTAAAATTGCGTTAAATACGAGAACTTTTAAGAAAGTGTAAACTAATGTACATATAGTTTTTGCCGTCTTTGAGATTGCCTGGCAAATTTTAAGTTTCAATTCTTGAAATCTTTAATTCAAAGTTTCGAGGGTAAATAGCATTTCATGAATGTATATATAATTCTTAATGCACGCATGCACACACACACGCACGCACGCACGCACGCACGCACGCACATACATACATACATACATACATACATACATACATACATACCGGAAAACGATTTACAAAATTACAAAAATTATCTAAAGAAAGGAAAGTTAATAACTTAAATATCATGATGTTTAATATGTAAAGTTTGAACTACAAAATGTTGTAAAGTAAATTTGTCATTACAGAAAGAAAGTAGAAGTGAATGTTACCTTGAAGAGTCTGACAACAATAAATAATTCCGAGGTGACAAATGAAGGATTTTCTGGCATTGAGGCAAATGATCAAATGTAAAAATGTTTATGTTTTTGTATGATTGCGCATATCTTCATTTACTTAGAATGTTAACTTTGTCACATCGCAATAAAGAATGGAAGTTTAACAATCAATTTGTTTTATATGTATTAGACATAATAAACGCTACAAACATATTCAATGTGTTCATAAAAAAAAAACAATAAAAAAAAACTGAAGAACTCTCAGATCATACAACAGTGTCTTTTTTCTAATATTTTGATCAGTTTTAGCATTTTACAATATAAGATAATAATTATGTTACAATGATGAAAGTTCCTTAATTGGGATCCTGATTTGTTACGTGTTCTGTCTATCGTCTACGAATATCCTGTATGAAATTGATCTCGCAACTTTGATGTAATTTCACCGTTGAGCTAAACAAATTGTTTCTTTCATCAATTCGGGAATGTATTAATGTCTAGAATAAGAAAATAATAATTTATCAAACCATTATTCAAGCTTCATAATAGAACACTTGTCATTTTTTATTATTTCGAAAAATATCTCATTCTATTGTGACACTACATTTTTTCAGATGAAGTACTCTTGTAATTAAATTCATCAAATGATACAATAATTATTATGTTGGCTGCGGTATTTCTCTCGCAGCACGTATTTTTTAATCTGATACATTAAATTCACAAGAAAAGCATTGATGCAAAGCATCAAAGACGACGCAAAAAAATTTGATCAAGTTTTGCACCTAAATACTTAACAAAAGATGTGTAATTCATAGCAGTGCCATTACATGTGTCCTGGAGGCTAGGCCCAGTTTAAGTTGAAACTTAAACCAAAAAGAATAGACTCTGTTTTGCCAAGATGAAAAGATAATTTATAGTCAATTAACCAATCACTTATAAGACTCATGCCTAAGAGATAATTTCTTCAGATTTATTTTACCAGATACAAGGATACCTGAGTCATCAGCATATAATAAAAGCTTATTGCTTAGGGTTGCAGACATGTCATTGACATATATAAGACATAAAAGAGGACCTAAAATGAACCTCAGGGGGACACCGTAGGTACTTGGAGCAGTAGTAGAATGAGTACAGCTGCTGTCCATCAGAAATAAGACTTGAACCATGTAAGAATGTCATTACCTATGGCAGATGCTCTTGAGGTTCCATGAAGTAGAAGAAGAAGACTTGTGCAATATAGTGTTATCAACTGTATCATATGCCTTTTGTAGGTCTAAAAGTATCATGCATACACTACTGCCTTTGTCTAATTCAAATGTAATACAATCTGTTAAATGAATCAAACATTTGTCAGTTGAAAAACCATTTCCAACCCATGACTGTCAGTAGACCAACTGGGCTATCCGGCCGGCTACACATTTTCTCTTTAAATTAATAATGAACAGTTCTAAACCACAACATATTTCCCCACAATATTGATTTGTGTCCTTGAATTTCTGATGTTTACAGAGCAAAGTGAATTAAACACAGGGTTATATGCAGTCACAGGATGAGACAAACTTTCAGCTTGACCAGAACTCAAACCTATGACCCACAGAATAATGTACCGCGGCTGTAGGGGTTGAGCTAACAAATAGATAAGACAGAAGCTGTCCTTTTCAAACTATGCACATGTTAGAAAAAAATCGAATAACAATTCAGAATACCATATGATTTTTATATGACTTTATAAATTATATTGCTTGATCCAAGTTTAAGGACATTTTCAATCAATACATGTATTATCATTTATAACTTTAAATCTTTAATAATAATGTCATGATTGTAACTCTTTAAATACAGAAATATTATAAGTCTCATCATATCCATATACTAAGATATACATGTATGAACATAACATTAATAATTCCCAGTTTCTATTAAATAAATATGAAATCCTAACATTACATTGGCACTAATGGATGGAATTCAAAATCTAGTAGAAAGAAAACTACATGTATAATGTATAAACTCTATTATAGATACTATTATTAGCCAGCTAACTGGGTATAAACACCTATAACCTGTAGACTAATCAATACATGTATTATCATTTATAAACTTAAATGCAAGTCTCATCCATCATAACTGTATTTCTTTAAATACAGAAATATTTCAAGTCACATAATATCCATATACCATGATATACATGTATGCACATTACATTAATAATTCCCAGTTTCCATTGAAAATAAATATAATATCCTATTAACATTGGTACTTGGTTGGAATTCATAATCTTGTAGAAAGAAAACTATAATAAAAGTTTAAAAAAATCTCAAATAGTCTATATCATACATGTATAATAAAGATTGAGCTGTGTGAGTGTCTAAACATTAAATGCATATCTCTTACAGTAACAAATACTGTCCCTCTTTTAACCTTCCATTAGACTTTACTATATAACTAACTGCATATATATCAAGTGTTTAAAATTTGATAACTTCAGTATGATATCCTTTCTCTGTTTCAATATATGGACATAAGCACCTATATGCATAGCTTTAATTTTCTACCTTTCATTTTTACCACAGGTTATTTTATTAACAATTTATATACAAACACATAGAAAATAATAATTAGTTTCACATAGTGATTAGAAGATTCCTGTAGCAGAATACCTGTAGGTATGTACTAACTGAACAAACTCCAGTCAAAGGAATATAAAGCCAGTAGAAAAGTCTATAATATTCACTCCTCAGGGCCTCTATGTTTTTTGTTTGTTTGTTTGGAATTTTACGGCACATAAACACATAACTGGCCATATCGTGCCGATTGCTATAATAGGCTTAAAATGTTATGTAAAACTTTGTAAATGACAATAAAAATGAGCCAATTAGATCCTAGAATACAAGTTTATCTCTTTCAAATAATCAATGATGTTTTTTGATGGAATTGTATTAAAGAGTTCTTTGAGTGAATTTACAGAATAAAATCTATTACGGGCCTGTGAAAAATCATGACATTAAAGAAGAAAATGCTTGACAGTAAAATTGCTTTTGATGACCTTACAACTGGTAAATGTTATACAAAAAAAATAGTAAGTAATACCTAAGATAGACAGAAAAGAACAAATAATTTAGTAAACATGAGTTACTTCCCCTAAAAATAGAGAAAAGCTGAAACCCAAAGGAACACCATAACCCGGCCTAAACATCAAAATTATGAAATGTTGCAGGCTCAGTTTTATTAAGCCATGCAAAGTAATGGTAAAGTATTCATAAAAAGTTAGATGGCCAAGTGACAGCAGTAATTGCAGAAAACCGGATAGCTTTCAACATCCGGATACTGGTACACTTTGTCAAAAGAATCATTCTGTGCAATAGATAAACGTAATATGGATAAAATCAATAGGATAATCGTTTACAACAGTTCCATTACCAATCCTTATATACATTTGCAGGTGAACGTTTATCTTGTAGGAAAATTTTGAAAATATATAAATGAATGAATGAACAAGAATACGGCATCAATGTAGACCACAACGATATTCGAAATCCGGGTTTTAGTATTGCCAATAAAGCGGAGGGCTGAGCCTGCAATTTCGTGAAAATAATATCACAATGCACATGCTTTTTACATAAAGTTATTAAATACAAATATAACAACATATTTGTTTACTTGATTTTTACGAATCAAAATAAAACAAACTTACACAACATGACATTAACTGCTAATAATAACAGCTCTTTCCATAGGCCAAAATAAAAGAGCAGTGGAATATTGTTTAAAATTTATTGCTCTTTTTCAAGGTAATTTATATATAAATTCTTCTTTCTCATTCTCGCATCAAGTATTAAACGTTTAAGAAATAGATTTACTATAATTAAAGAAAAATGAATTCTTCCAGGGAATCAAACATAACGTAACGGTAATTATGTAAGCGATCATGGGGGAAACAGACAATAGCTTTCACGACAGTTTTAATCTTTGTAAATGATCCTTTAAATACAAACGTTTTGAACAGATAAGTCAAATAAATACGAGTATATACTATAATTAGAAAATATTGATAACTGCTACAAGTCTCTTTGCAAATGTTAAATAAATATTTTGACTTCATACAAAGTAGATGTGTTATGTTAAAAGTTCTACACAATATAGATGATCACATTTAGTATATATAGTGTCATTTGAAAAAAACTGGCAGTTTTTTTTAAAGAAAATATCAACTACTTGACCTGTAAAAGGGGGCACACCTTCCCATACAAAGTTTATTCATTCTTTATTCAAATAAGACATTCTTTCTCATTCTCGCATAAAGTATTAAACGTTTAAGAAATTTTCTTGCAGGTGAACGTTCTTCTTGTAGGAAAATTTTGAAAATATATAAATGAATGAATGAACAAGAATACGGCATCAATGTAGACCACAACGATATTCGAAATCCGGGTTTTAGTATTGCCAATAAAGCTGAAGCTGAGCCTGCAATTTCGTGAAAATAATATCACAATGCACATGCTTTTTACATAAAGTTTTTCATAGATCTGTGATTAAAATATTTTACTCAAGGATGAGCATAGTCAAGGGGCAGGACGTGAAGTGGTTGCACACTTGCTTCAAGCGAGAAAAATTGTTAATTATTTATTTTTACACATTATGTCACAGTATTTTTGCAATGACCTGTACATCTGGCTCCTCCTCCAGAATGTCAGTCAGCATCATTCGCGCATGCTCAGTAGACTGGATATATAAACCGAGCAAACTCAATGACATGCAAATTCCTTTCTGATCCAGTCTCTGGGGCTCTCAAGCTGTCCCAAAGTAGCACGGGATAAAAATCGACTGCGACGATACTTTACTCTTATTTTGATTCTCTACTTACCAAAGGTAATGGGGTTTTATTTAAGAATATATAAAGAGCTAATTTATAGTAATAAATTATAATTTTTTATTATATTAGTGGTGCTTTTCTCTTTTATTTGTTCTAGATTCTACAGATCACTATTGTGTATGGCCACGTGCTGTGTTCTTTGGCAAAAATAAATAAAGTTTCAGCCTGTAAAAAGTCTTCGGCTTCACGATAGTTTGAAAGAAGAGCTAGCAAGCTAGCATACAAAAAAGAAAGAAAAACAAGATAAATACATAAAACAAGAGGGCCATGATGGCCCTAAAGTCGCTCACCTGTATATAGGCCCCCCGGAGCAGGGCCAGTTTAAACCATAGGGCTTTTATTTGAACAAACTTGGTAGACACCCATTAGAAGATGTTTCATGCTAAACATCTAAGGTCTAGCTTGTTGGGTTTTTTAAAAGAAGATTTTTTCAAGTTTTTTTCTTTACAAATATAGTTAAAATAATTTCTTTCATTTTTCTTTATGAAACAGATGCCAAATAAAACATGACAAATCTTGTCAATTTGATGTGTTGTTCTATTCGCATTTCTTATTTATTTTATTCATTTGCGTATGAAATATAAAGATTAATAATCAAAAGCAAGGTATGTATAGATATTCCAGTCTAACATAGATATATGAAACTGTGGTGCAATTCCATCATTTAGCAACACTTAATTTCAAAAATGCTCAAACCACCATGTGGGAGAGTTGCTTTAATCTAAGACCAACTTTATTTCCGTT